GATAAATGCATCCAGGTGTGATAACATGAAGTCAGTGAGAAAAGTGCTAAGTTCTCTTACAATCTCACTTAGTTTGGGTTTTAAATGACTGTTATGATTTTGAGTCCAAAGATCATTCTTGTCACCAATCAATAAATCTACAAATATTTATTAAGTACTTTCTATGTGCCAAGCATTCTGCTAGGAATTAGTGCTACAAATAAAAAAGATAATACCCTGACCTCAAGAAGCTTGATTCTACTGGAGAAAGGGGCATGTTGGAGAGGGGATATATAAATAGGCACATAGATAAGTGAACACAATGTATGGACAAAATAAATACAAAGTAATTGGGGTGGTATATATATCAAAAACAAGAGAAAATCCTGAAAGTGCTCAAGGTGGCATTTCAGCTGAATCTTAAAAAGCACTAGTCAGGGGTTTGGTTACAGGGGAAGGACTTACCAAGGCAAATAAGCTGAAGATGGATTGATGCATACAGGAAACATGAAGTAGGCCAATATGACTGCAACATAGAATATGGAGAGGGAAGAATGGAGTCAGAGCCTGTAGGGGGAGAGCGAGCCTGGAAAGATATTCTGGGGCCAGATTGTAAAAGAGCTTTAATTGCAGATATGAGAATATATGTTTTATCCTAGGGGAAATAGACAGCTACTGAAACTTCTTCTGTAGGGAAATAGTATGTTCAATCCAGTGTTTTAGGAATATCAGCTTGGCGGCAATGTGGAGGATGGATTGAAGAAGAGGGAGGCTAGATTCAGGGAAGACCTTTCAGGAGGCTATTTCCATAGTCTGGACAAGAAATAATTAGAGCATAAACGGTGTGGCTAGAGTGGAGAAGACAGATGTGAGAGGTGTTGAAAGTAGAATTGACAAAGTGTAATGACTGTTTAAATAAAAGGAAGGGGAAGAAGAAGGAATAAATACAATGTCAAACACAAAGAAGTCAAAAAGGAGAAGAACTGAGAAGTGATTGCTGGATGCAGAAATAAAAATAATCGTTGGTGACCTTGAAGACAGTAGTTATATTCAAGTTGGGATTAGAAACCAGAAAGGGATTGAAAAGGTACTTGAGGTGAGAAAATGGAGGCTATGATTGTAGATGCCTTTTTTTGAACTTTGGCAGAGGAAAGATATAGGTGATAACTTGAGGATTTGGTAAAATCAAGTAAACTTTTGGTTGTTATTGTTGTTTTTTGAAGGATGAGTATCTTTATGGGCAGCAATGAAGTGATGTACCAGTTTATAAGGAGGACATGAAGAATAGGCAAAGGGAGAATGATCAAAATGGCAAGATCCCAGCAGACATAATAGAGAATTGAATCATCATCACAAGTAAGGGGTTGGCATTGTCAAGGAGAAACTAGTTTATTCTCTATAGCCGGAACAGAAAAAGAAAGAACTTGGGTGTGTCAAGAAGAAGGCATTAAGGAGATTAGAAGTATGGAATTAAGGAAAAGATAAAGTTCATAATGGTTTGGGCCTCAGAAAAAATTTCATTGCATTCTGATGAGATAAAAGGAAAGAGATAATGTTGATAGTTTAAAAAGAAAAGAGAAGATTTGGAACAGTCATCATAAGGGGTTCAATGAGTTCAATCAATCTGGGAAGAATAAAAAGGTTGATAAGAGCATTGAAGTCTAATTGAATGGCATAAAACTTTAGTTTCTCTAGTTATCAGGGTTTGTTTACTTCTTCTAACAGTATTTATAGGAGGATTGGAAAATAATATGAGTAATCTAATTTGGGATTTGGAAAGGAATAAGAGGTGACAGGATAATGGGACAAGGAATATGAAGATGGAAGTTAACTAAAAGATTAGAATTTTGAAAGGAAAATATTGAAGTCAGAGGAAAGATACAGGGAAATGCTGGTTAAGAAAATGCTAGAATAAGAAGAATTTGTGGTGGAGACAGAGAAAAGTCTTGGGAGGAATGAGGCACAGGGAGAGACGGAAGAACAGGAAGTTCTTGTCATCTAGACAAGTTTAAGAGCAGGTTTGTGATGGAAAAATCACAGTTATTACCAACCCTGGATGTGGACAAGTTAGAGCAAAGTAGCAGTTCATGAGATCTGAGGAGGGTACAGAACAGGCAATCCAGGAATTTGAGAAGATTGCAACATGTAAACTGAGATTCCCAAAGAGAAGAAGAGCAGAATTTGGGCTAGAGAGGAAGACTGAAGCAGTTACTGAACTCCTCCACTAAGAAGTAGTTTATTCTTATAACAAATATCCATTTTGTCAATACCTCTGTTGTTCTATACCAAAATATTTTCCATCAAAATTCTCTGCTCTGATTCCTGAATTTCCTCATGAGTAAATCTTAGTAATAAAATTTTATTCAACTACCAACTTTTAGTTATTCTGTTCCTTTTCAGCAAGACACATCCTTTGAAAACACTATTCCAGTCATCCCCTGAAATCTAACGATAATTATTTTGAATTTTCATATATGAATGAGGCTTTCTACTTCCCCTTGCTTATGACCCATACTTTGTGCCTTTATATATGAACATCTAAATTTTTATTTCTGAATCTCTTTTAAAATATATTATCATGTGAATTGCTGAGCCTTCCTATGGTGTATTTTCTCCTCTCTGTGGTATCTGGACTGACAATCATATGAGGGAAGTTCTTTCTCTTACCCCATATTTTCAATTAGAACTTTTTTGTTAATCACAAGACTTTGGGCAAATATATTTTTACCTGGCTACCAGGTTACATTTCTGTCCTTTTTCAGCCATTTTCTAGAAATTCAAATTGCATTTCCCAGCACCATCTTCTTAATCACTTCAAATCTGCCTTTCTTTTCAGAAATCTCTACTTTCAGTTGTTTGCATTTTGTCTGGTATTTGTTAGATGAATGAATTAGTTAATTTATGAGGTTGATGTTGTAATAGAAAGAAGAACAGCACTAGCTGTATAAAACTGGGCAAGTCACAACATCTCAGAGCCAGAGTTTTCTCAAATGCAGAGTAATGGTAATAACACTTATTTTTCAGGATTTCTGTAAAGACTAAATGTGATCGTGTTTGTAAATTACAAAAAAAAATCATTGAGGATAGTGAAGGTTAAAAAGGCTATAAAGGTTATAAAGAGCTTTACATGCCAAACAGAGCATTTTATATTTGCTACTGGAAGTAAAAGGAAGCCATTGGAGTTTAATGATTTGAGAGAGAAGAGCAACATGAGCAGACCCATGTTTCAGGAAAATCACTTTGGCAACTTAGAGTAAGATGGAATGTAGTGGGCAGACAAATGAGAAGGCTATTGCAATAGTCTAGGTAAGAAGTGATGAGGGCCTGAAATGGGGGGGTGGCTTTTTAAGTGGATAGTAAGGAATATAAATTCTAAAGCCTTATAGCAATCAGAGGGCTTTTTCAGAACTAGGTAACAAGGATAAAAAAAAATGATAGCAACAAAACAAAGTATCCTAAGACTGTTATGTCTCATGTATTAGCTTAGCCCAAGGTAGTCCTATCACAGTTCATGATCTTGCCTTGGGATAAGATATTCTATTTCCATAACCTTTATTTATGAATAGGATAAAACATACAGTGACCATTTTTAAGTTTATTTGATTTAGTAAGTTCATGTAACTTCAGCCCTTTCTAAAGCAGGTCCTACTTACAGCAACAAAAATATCTGTAGATTTTTGCCAAATTCAAATGACTCTAGGATTTAGGATTTGAAAAGACCTTAAAAGTCAAGTCATCCAATTCCACATTTTATAGATCAGGAAAATGAGACCCAAGGAGCCCAATATATTTGGACATTAAGTAATAGCATCATAATTCATGTCCATATCCTCTACTCCCAAATCCAGTAGTCTCCCAACTGTTTTATAGTCCTAACACCTTAATTGCATTAAGTTGTAGGAATGGTAGAAATCACCCTGTTACTTCCTGATGTTTCCTCCTTTTTGTTTCAGAAGACCAATTTTCTGACATAACTTACCCTATATGAATCTACATACAAATGCATTTTCTTATGGATGGTAAAAATCTGATCCTTATTTTAATCAAACTAATAACTAGCCTTGAGAATAGAAGGTTAACTGGAAGAATAATTCATGATTTTTCAAATTGTTCTTCTCTTATTGATTACCTAATTATCATTGTTTTTCGTTGAATGACATCATATGGATTTTCTGCTATATATTTATTTAATTTCCCCAAAAAAAGTCATATAGGGTTTTTAAATAACTATCTCTCTCTTCTTGCTTTTATCTTTTGAAAATTGAATGCATTGGGTGGGGGACAGGATGCTAAAAAAGTCTTCCCATTGTTTTAGGAAAAAAGCTATTGTGAGAATTAGTAATTAAACTACTCTGACTATATTTATACCCAGAACATGATCTCAAAGGTCTCTTATGGCTCTAAATTTTATTATATAGTTGTAATATGCCCAAAGAGGTGTTCATCAGGTTGTGTTCAAATGACATTTAAAATTCACAGAAATAGTAGGCACTTCATGAATACTTGTCGATTGATTGACCATTCTTAACTTTGGCTGGCCAACAAATTTTGTGCAATCCAGCCCTTTCAACTAAGTCACTAAGCTTGGGCAGGAAGACATATGAAAATGTATGGTATGAATTCATAAATCATCAGAACCACTTAGCTCCTTATAAGCATATCTCTAGAAAGGAAAAATTATTTTTAACTTCTTAAGCTAAAAACATGGTGAGTTTTATAAATCCCTGAGGTGAAATAATCACTGGAAGTATACTAGCACTAGGTAATTAAAAGATTTCTTCTTAAATAAGCTTACAGCACCCTCATATGAAAGTAAAAAAATCAAGGCTATAAGTATAGCAAATGATTAAGATTTGTGTATCCTCTTGCCTGGTTTTGATGACTATACTGGCATTAATAATGCAGGCATCGCTGGCCCTGAAATGGTATGTTCTTAGAGTGCTCTGGGCATTTTAATAACTCTATCAATATACATTGCTTTTTCAATGGATTAACATGCTAAACTTTCTTTTTCTGACCAGCAGGTGGTGAAGTCCCTTATACAACCCTGGCCACTCGAATGATGATGGGAGCTTGGTGGCTCTTTGCATTGATTGTCATCTCATCATACACAGCTAACCTTGCAGCTTTCCTCACCATCACACGAATTGAAAGCTCTATCCAGTAAGTAGACATAAATGATCCTGGTAAAGAGGAGGAGGAGGAGAGGAGGAGGATGAACAGTCATTATTTTATCCCAGTAGGTTACGGAAATGATTTATTATTTTATAAATTAAAAATAAAATAATAACAATGACAGTCTTTATACAGCATCTTCAGGTTTGTGAAGCACTTTACAAATATTGTCTCATCAGATCTTTAAAGCAACCCTGAGATGTAGATGCTATCATTATCTCCATTTTATAGATGGGAAAATTGACGCTGAAAGGTTAAAGAACTTGCTTAGAGGGGCATAGTTTATAAGTGTCTGAGATCAACTTTGAACTCAGGTCTCCCTGACTCCATGTCCAACACTACTAGAGGTATATGGGTATGTCATGTTTGTCAAAACTTGGCAAGGATGGATCATGTTTGTGTATATAAGTTTCCCTGAGAGGATAGATGTTGGGTGTGATAGTTTAGATCACATTATCTTTTTCCCCTTTTTAACTGTATTTTTATTTTTTTATCATGGTCTTAATAACAGAAATATTTAATAGCTTAAGAACAAAAAAGAGAATCCACTCTGAGCTAAAATGGTGATCTCATTCATTTTTAAAAATTTAAATGTTAGATTATTTTGAAGGAGGGATTTTCCTACTCCCTGGGCAATTCAATTCCAGAGAAAAATCTTGAGAAGACAGAAACAAATTGAAGTTTGAAATTGATTTAAAGAGATTGCTTGAGGAGAACATATTTTCATGATTCCAAATTCATCAAAAAGAGCATGCCAGTAAGGACTAGAACATAAAACTGTGTTCAAAGAGACCATAAAAAAGCACCGCATTTTGGTGCTTTACTCAGGCCATATAAACCTCAAGCTAAGTATCAAGAGAAGATTTTTTTAAGAATCTGGTATTCTACTTCCGATGACAATGTATTCCCTCACTAAATATCACTGTTTTCACAAAAGCCCAGTATTGTGCCACTAATTACTACCGTAGCTCAAAATCAGAATAATCTGAACCCATTAGGGATCTAAGTTACCTTGGCAGAAAAACATAATTCCTTTTTTAAAAAAATAATAATAATGTAAAGGTCAACAAATAACCACTAAGCTATTCATTTGTTGCAAATTATTATAAAAATAGAAACAGAATTAGTTACCTCTAAAAGGGACTGAAGTGTTTTTCACCATCTCCAATTGCCTGTGAGCAAATTGAAAACATAGTACAGGAATATAGATTATAATTAATAGTGGGCTATCATTCATATAAGAATACTATGCTAATTACTCATCCTCAAATTAGAGCATATATCAAGTAATTTGTAAGGTAGTGGTAATAGTACTGAATAAACATAACTCTATTCCTGTTCTGGCCTATGCTGTGAATTTAAAACAGCAATATTAAGTGATTTCCATAAGAATATCTTGACTAGATTCCTGCCACATTGAAATCCCACCTCCATGACATAATTAAGACATGTATGTATGATTCCTAAATCCTTGATAGAAATTGATATATTACTAATATATTTTTTTAAATTAGTAATACATCCTGACCCTAACCAAAAACTCTTTGCTCAGGAAAAGCAGTTAGATGTCCTGACCTATAAATGAACAACTTACTCCAAAATAATTGTTTTCAATTCAACAGATATTTGTTTAATCCCTGTTGGATAAAATAGGATAGCCTCAAATTTTTGTCTGATTCTGGATGTCTCACAATTGGTTAATTTAAAATAAAGAAAGAATACAGCAATGGAAAGATTAGGATCCTGATTCAGAAAATACTTTGTCATCCTTTGGATCTCTCAAACTTACTTTTTTTTCTTCTCTATTTCCTTTCTGTGCCAGCTGACATTTTTACAAGTCATCAGGGAATGTGATAAATGCCATTCTTTCTAATCTTATGTACAGACTGATTTGGCAGAGCAAAATTAGATCAGAATAAGGGTTGGGGGAAAGATCCCTGTTCCCATATGAAACAAACAAAAGTTTATATTTCAGCTATGTTTCAAAATACCATTACCAAAAATACTTCCAGGAAATAGCCTTGAGAGTTTCAAAGACCAATTTGTCTTACAAAATTCTTCCCCAAATGAAAGCAGGGACACATGTCTTAATCTCTTTAACCTATTTAGTTCACTCTTCTCTCATACTGGAAGGATGTAACAGTGCCTATTCTTTCTAGCTAGCATTTTCTGTGAAGTTGACATATTAGTACCTACCATATTCCATTCCCAGAATAACTTCTACAGAGCAGAAATGGCAAGGAATGCAAAAATAGGATATGTCATCTAGGGAGAGAAAAATGACCTTCTTTGGCTGGATGATTGACATAAATTCTTCATGGTTTAGAAGGAGAAGTCAAATCTGTTTCTTTGTAGGAATTTGAGTAATTGTTATAGAATTACGCTCTATGCTCAAAATCAGTAGAATCTAATTCTCCATTTATCATTTCTTCTAGAACAAAAAATCAAAAATTCTTTTGCACCCTTACCCCCTACCCAAGGTGGTATTCAACCATGGGGAAATAGAAAAAGAAAAACCAGAATTTAATTTCCATTTCCCTTCATGATGCAGTAGATCAACATACTGTATTCTGCTCCATGATGTAATGTCATGTGACAGATTGACACAGTTGGAGAAGGTGTTTTCAATATCCTGATCAGTTCCTGAAGGAAAAATATAGCTGCTCCAAGTCCCTGGTAGCAATTTTGCTGTCTCACTCTCACTAAAAGACAACAACATGTGGCTAGTTGTTTTTAAATGCATGTGAAACGGAGCAGTCTTTTCCCTAGGGGCAGCCACCCCGTAGGGGATATTGCTGAAATGGAGCTCTACCAGAGAGATGCTGGTGAAATTCCCTTTGCTATACTATAAGTCACACACAGCTTCAAACAAAGCCAATTTTTTCAGTATTATTCACAGTAACCATTATCTAAATAAAGTTCACACTAGAGCAATTATATACATTAATATCTTCAGACTGGGAAGTACTATTGCTCTTGAGAACTTTATGTATGTAAATAAGCCTGAGTCTGTATTCAAATGGTTTCAACCCACCACTATGTACTTTGTTGTACTGTGCTCACATGTACAAACTTTGTGATGGGTTTTTGTTGTTTTGTATTGTGTATGCGTTGATTTGTTTTTGCCCAGACGTATGATTTCTTTGAAGTATTTTGGTATAGTACAGAGAGCACTGACCTTGGATTAAAAAACTACCTCTGATACATGCAACCTGAATAACCTTGGGCAAATCATCTTTCCTCCCAGGAAAGAATTTTCTCATCTATAAAATGAGAAGTTGGAATAAATGGCCTCAGATCCCGTTTAGCTCTGAATCTATGATCCAATGATCCCTTTCTTGATGCTTATCAGCAACTGGGGTACTGTGTGATTGAGTGACTTGCAGAGGTCTCATAGAAAATATGTCAGGGGCAGGTTTTTGTTGTTGTTCAGTCATTCAGCTGTGTCTGACTCTTCATGAACCATAGCACACCAGGCCCTTCTATACTCCACTATTTCTCGAAGTCCGTCCAAGTTCATGTTCATTGGTTCCATGATGCCATCTATCCATCTCAAATTCTACCAACCCACTTTCCTTTTGACTTAAATCTTTTTCAACATCAGGGTCTTTTCCAATATGTAGTTAAAGTATTTAAGCTTCAGCTTCAGTTTTCCACCTTCCAGTGAAAAGCTTGAATTACTTTCTTTAAGTATTGACTGAGTTGATCTCCTTGCTGTCCAAGAGGCTCTCAAAAGTCTTCTCCAACACTACAATTCAAAAGAATTGATACTGCAGCACTCAGCTTTCCTTATAGTCCAATTCTCACTGCCACACATTGCTACTAGAAAAAAAATATGTAGCTTTGACTGTATGTACTTTTGTTGTCAAGGTGATCTTTTTTTGTTGGCAAGGTCTCTGCTTTTTGCTGTGCTGTCCAGATTTGCCATAGTTTTCCCTCCAAGGAGCAAGCATATTTTAGTTTGATGGCTACAGTTACCATCTGTAGTGAATTTTGAGCCCATACCGTCTGACAATGCTTTCTTTCTTCCCCTTCTATTTGTAAGGAAGTGATTGGACCAGTTGCCACAATCTTTGTTTTTTTGGGGGGTTTGTGTGTTAAGTTTCAATCCAGCTTTAACCATCTCCTCTTTTACCCTTATCAAGAGGCTTCTTAATTCTTCTTCACTTTCTGCCATCACATTGGTATCATCTTTGTATCTGAGGTTATTAGTATTTCTCCCAGCAACCTTAATTCCAGCTTTTGATTCATCCAGCCTGGCATTTCTTGTGATGTACTCTGAATAAAAGTTAAACAAGTAAGGTGATAATATATAGCCTTGTCATACTCACTTTCTAATCTTAAACCAATCAGTTGTTCCATGTTTGGTTCTTTCTATTGCTTCTTGGCCTGCACACAAGTTCCTCAGGAGACAGAAATGATGTGGTACTCCCATCTGACTGAGGACTTGCCACACTTTGTTGTGATCCACGTAATCAAAGGCTTTAGTTTAGGCAATGAAGCAGAAGTAGATATTTTTTCTAGAGCTCTTGTGCTTTCTCTTTCAACATTGTCCAGAAGTGAAATGAGCCGGCTTGAGAGGTGCTAAAGTGCTCCTCAGTGAAGGTTTTTAAGCTTATCTTATGCTTGAAAGCCTCCCAGGTGGACATTTGTGAGGCACATTATAGTAGAGATTTTTTTCAAGTATGGGTTGAACTAGAACGTGAGGCTCCTTTCAACTTTCAATCCTGTGATTCTATGACATGAATTTTTACACCTCTCCTTCTGCCTTTCCACATGAAACCCTGATTTTATACATTCACACTGTGATTTTAAGTCTTTGACCTCCCAGTTCTCTCCCAGGTGATCACCTCTATACTGGTCACATTCTTCTGCTTTCCCCAACTTGATCTCTTGGCAAACCACTTCAGCTATACACTGTCCTCTTCTCTTTAGCCTTCTGCCCCTTCATTATCTCACTAACTGAGCCATGCCAAGCTTTATCCTGG